TGAAGGTTTGGTCTAGGGATGGCAACGGGACGCCCCACCCCGTTACCCTTTTACGACGGGGTGGGGTCCTTGCCCCGTTTACTATCCGTTAAAATTTTTTTTTTTAGTTTTTAATAATTTATTTTTATTATCCATATTTATTAGATTTAGACAAATAATTTTAGTTGTTATTTTCTATTAGAACTAATGAAAATTTATGAAAATTTTCATTTAAAGTATTGAATTTTAAAAAAAATAAAATTTAACGGGGTGGGGCAAAATTCCCCGCCCCGAATACCCGATTAAGCATGTTATCCCCGCCCCGTTTGAGGCAGGGTCCCACAGGTATCGGGTTTGTCGGATTTTTTTGTCATCCCTAGTTTGGTCTTCTCCACAGCATTAACTTTTGAAGTGTTTTCATTAGAATTTTTATTTTTATTTCTTGCCCTCGATTCTTTTTCAATTTGAAAATGTTTTTGCACTTGTTCCAAAGAATAATCTTTGGAACTAAGAAATTTTTTTCCCCAATATTCTTTCTAAGTCACCAAGAGTTTTGCAATGATTGCTCCGACTTGGAAAGATTTCGAGATTTCAATTTTTACCACCTTCAACTTGTTGACAATAACTTATAACTCATGTACTTTGGGAAGAAGGGGAATGTTATCAAAGAATTTGAAGTCGAAATACCTTAATATTATGAATTTCTTTCCATATTTATTTTGCCGATGATGTATTTGTGTAGAGGTCGTGCAATCAGTTGGATAGAGCATTAAGAATATGACCGTGACATAAGAGTTCATTCACTTGACGCTTTTGTTTCTCCATTTTTACGACTTCGGTATCTCTATCCGTTGAATCTACAAGTGGTGTCAATTCTGGATCAAGAATATAGAATATCTTCAACGCCGTGAGAAGAAATTTCAACTTATCTTGCCATCTTGTAAAATTTGCCCCATCAAATCAATCTAGACGGACACAATCTTGATTCATCAATTTGATCATCGTCATTGTAGTTTTGTTCTCCATTGCAAAATATCGTTTGAGATAGAAGGAAAAAAATTGTTCATACACAAAGGAGATGAAGAAGAAATTAAGAATAAAAATAAGAAACACTGGAATAAAGATGAAGGCTTAAACACGAATATCGTTGTCCTCAAACGGCATTTCCTCTAAGATTGAATTTGATGCTTAAAGTGATATCGACAAATGGTTTGAAGGATTAATCAAACCTTATAATAGAGAAAATACCTACACATTACTAAAACTTCAAGAACATAAAACAAAATTTGNTCTATTAGAACTAATGAAAATTTATGAAAATTTTCATTTAAAGTATTGAATTTTAAAAAAAATAAAATTTAACGGGGTGGGGCAAAATTCCCCGCCCCGAATACCCGATTAAGCATGTTATCCCCGCCCCGTTTGAGGCAGGGTCCCACAGGTATCGGGTTTGTCGGATTTTTTTGTCATCCCTAGTTTGGTCTTCTCCACAGCATTAACTTTTGAAGTGTTTTCATTAGAATTTTTATTTTTATTTCTTGCCCTCGATTCTTTTTCAATTTGAAAATGTTTTTGCACTTGTTCCAAAGAATAATCTTTGGAACTAAGAAATTTTTTTCCCCAATATTCTTTCTAAGTCACCAAGAGTTTTGCAATGATTGCTCCGACTTGGAAAGATTTCGAGATTTCAATTTTTACCACCTTCAACTTGTTGACAATAACTTATAACTCATGTACTTTGGGAAGAAGGGGAATGTTATCAAAGAATTTGAAGTCGAAATACCTTAATATTATGAATTTCTTTCCATATTTATTTTGCCGATGATGTATTTGTGTAGAGGTCGTGCAATCAGTTGGATAGAGCATTAAGAATATGACCGTGACATAAGAGTTCATTCACTTGACGCTTTTGTTTCTCCATTTTTACGACTTCGGTATCTCTATCCGTTGAATCTACAAGTGGTGTCAATTCTGGATCAAGAATATAGAATATCTTCAACGCCGTGAGAAGAAATTTCAACTTATCTTGCCATCTTGTAAAATTTGCCCCATCAAATCAATCTAGACGGACACAATCTTGATTCATCAATTTGATCATCGTCATTGTAGTTTTGTTCTCCATTGCAAAATATCGTTTGAGATAGAAGGAAAAAAATTGTTCATACACAAAGGAGATGAAGAAGAAATTAAGAATAAAAATAAGAAACACTGGAATAAAGATGAAGGCTTAAACACGAATATCGTTGTCCTCAAACGGCATTTCCTCTAAGATTGAATTTGATGCTTAAAGTGATATCGACAAATGGTTTGAAGGATTAATCAAACCTTATAATAGAGAAAATACCTACACATTACTAAAACTTCAAGAACATAAAACAAAATTTGAATATGATGGGAAATAGATGTTTATCTTTCTTGTGGAATTTGATTTGATCTCAAGCAATTTTTTTATATATTTGTATTGATCATTAATCACCTATTTACGGACCTAAATCAATGCTACACAAAATGGTACCAGAATATGATGAAAAGCGACAATTTTCATACAAAAAGACGCCAAATTTTAAGTTGAAAAACTAGCCCAACTCTATTTGGCCGCATAAAACAAACCTATGTGACCGCATTGGTTGTTCAATGACAGGGCGTAGAAGCTGTGCAAACCAGCTTGGCGTCGCATAGGCCAAAATTTTGTTCCTCAATTATCTTGTTTCACACACTTTTTAGTGATTTTGAACAACAATTTCAGCACTTCACTTTTTTCATTTCATCGCGTTAGGCCTTATTTCTGATAGAAGAAAACTATGTCTATCTCCAACTTGTCGATCTAGGTTATCTCAAAATCCTCGATCCATGACTCTGTTCTACTTTCTTTCTGATCACAGTTTAACCCATTTCCCCTTCTTGACCCGACACCAATTTCAATAACCAATGTTTATCAACCTTCAACACTACCCTGGATTCAAAATGGTGTTCGTGAACTTCGAGAACGAATTGAAGCAGTTAGCCCCCTGTTTGAGCCACATTCTCGTTCTCGATCTTGTTCTCATTTTCATTCTTCTACTCATTTTCAATCACACATTTTTCAATAAAATAATATTTTCCATTACATCAATAACTTTTCCTCATTTTTCAACTACATATTTCCCGTCACATCACATAAAAAAAATGCATTCTCTCCTAAAAAATGTGCATCAAACACACTCGTGAAAACACGTAGAAAGTGACTGAAGCAATGCAACTAGTAGCTGTTGGGAATTTACTTAATCATGCACAACGAAAAATAAATTATTTTTCAATTCTCATCACAGATCTGCTTTTTGTTTGATAGAAACTGTGATTAGAATAATACATTTTGATAATTTCTGCAAACTCCTTTACTGATTCTCTAATTCGAATGATCATGATCTGCAATTCAAACTGTCCAATTGTCCAACCTCCAACGGTGATCCGCACATAGAACAAGAATGACGACTAATGTTTTCTTGTGCTAGCAATAATAATGAATTCTTTCATCCAGTTTCATAACCCTAGCAGCCTATTAATATAAGTCCAAGCTGGCTTGACCCTTTTGTTAAACTTAACCTGGTCCAATACTTAATTAATCAAATTAATTAAATATGGTCTATGAATTAATTAATTCCGGTATATTAATAAGAAACCCAATTAATTAATTATCCAACACTTGTCAATTAATTAATTGGTAAATCTCATTCTCCTGGTTCTCTTTTATGTGTGACCCATTAGATTTACAATCAAGATGTTTAACGACGTGAATTATTATTTTGATCTAATCAAAATCGATAAATTAAAATACTCCTTTTAATTTCTCACTAATTTACATTCGTCGTCCCAAATTGACATCTAACAATATGTCAGGACAATATATGTGACAGAAAATGTCGCATGGTGTAACAAAACAAACTTGTTCATTTACCGTGAAACTATAATCATTTCGTCAATATGATCCGATCAATTATGAGATATAGATATGTGTTAATCTCAATTATCGATCATATCTTTTATCCCACTGTAAAGTCAATGTAAGTCGAAAACTCCTTTTCGACTTATGAGTTCAATTTGGCCAAGAATTTCATTATAAACTTAACTGGATATAATGTAAATCATAATTTCTTACTATCTAAGAATGACGAATCATCTATCGATCATTCACAACCTTCATATGATTCTTGACATACCCGAACGATGCCGTATTAGCGACCCTTGGCAGAACAACATCTAAGACCACCAAAGTATGAGTGTCCTCATAAAAGGCACTAAGATGACCTCAAATCAAAAGACCAATTTCACTACCGAACGTTAGAGATTAACCTAACACACAGATAGTTATCCATGTGGAATCTCCCAGCGGACCTCCAATGTTTTGCTCTATAACAAAATATCCACATGTTCATTCAAGTGTCACCACACTTTAGCTGATAAAATCAACTATTTATTTCACAAGTAAGAATGCTACACGTGATGATCTATTCGTAATAATAATATCCGTATCTCGTTATTATTTTGACCACAGACGATTTAAAATTCAATCATATGTAATTTGTATCTCATAATCACAAATATTTATTTATATATTTAAAATGTTTATGTACAAAGTTGATTCCACCTGGGCATAACACCAGTACCAAAGGTGCGGAGAGCCCAAGAAGTAGTCATAAATGGTCGGCCTTTTGCTGAAACCCTTGTGGAAGTTTTGTACAGCATCAATGATCAGTGCCGATTAGAAGATGTGGAAATTCCTTTGACGGCCATTAGGCCTGTAAAGAAAGTTGCTCTTGTTGCTATAACAGGTAATAGAGGTCTGTGTGGTAGTCTCAACAATGCAGTATTGAAAAAGGTTGAGGCTTGGATCAACGAATAGAAGAATCTTAGATTGGATTACACTGTGATTAGTGTTGGCAAAAAGGGTAATGGGTGTTTTAGGAGAAGGCCCAGTGTAAATGTGGATAGGTTTATAGAACGAGAATATTTTCCCACTTCGAAAGAAGCTCAAGTAATTGCTGATGTTTTCGCTGTTTGTGAGCGAGGAGATGGATAAAGTCGAACTTATTTATACGAAATTTGTGTCTTTGATCAAGTCTGATCAGATAATTCATACTTTGCTTCCCATATCTGAGGGTTGTGACGTGAGTGGAAAGAGTGTTGATGCTAGTGAAGATGAGTTCTTTAGGCTGACGACTAGGGAGGGGAAATTGACGGTGTAGAGAGATCACGTTATGGGGTTGAATTGAATTTTTCCCCCAATTATCAGTTTGAGCAGCACCCTGCACGAATTCTTGATGCATTGATGCCACTTTACTAGAATAGTCAGATTTTGAGGGCAGTGCAGGAGTCGTATGCTAGTGATCTTGCAGGAAGAATGAATGCAACGAGTAATGCTACGGATAATGCAGGGGAATTGAAGAAGAATTTCAATTGCTTATGACCGTGAAAGGCAGGCGAAGATCACTGGTAAGATACTGGAGATAATTGCTGGAGCGAGGCTCTAGTGTAGTTTCAATTGGTTTTGACTATTCACTATAGAATGGTTCCAGTCTCCTTTTTGTTACCTTTTGTTGAAACCGTTTATAGTTCATTGAGATTCCTTTCATTCTACTTTTGATCTTCCTCAGTACCAGTGAGATGTTGGGGGTGATGCAGCAGAGGCACTAATAGGAATCAGTCTGGCTCTTCTTTTTTGGTTCGAATCTATTATGCCTGTAATGCCCGAGTTCCTTGAACCCGAATTGCCACGTCATCTTTATTTGTAACTGAATTAACTAAAAAGATTTGCGTAACATAACTAAATTTTAAACATCACATTTATAACTGTAAAACATCTTCGAC